TCGGGTGCCGGGTGGGTGTGGCCCATTGGGTGGGCATGGCTGCAGTGATAACGGCAGACTGGGTGGGACTAAAAAGTTCAATCAATCAATTCCAACTTTGCAAAATCTTTTTTGTTCCCACGAGAAGTTGAAATTGACTGATTGAACCTTTTTTTTTTTTTATACGTGGTGGTGGAGGTCTAAAGCGAAAAGATTTTATAAAACCCAGCTGAAGGCCTAGGACTGGGGCGACACCGCACGTGCCCACAGAGAGGGCTCTGAGTGCCGCCTCTGGCACCCGTGCCATAGGTTCGCCACCACTGGTATAGGGTTTCCTGCCTAAGCAGGAGGTTGGACTAGAAGACCTCCAAGGTCCCTTCCAACTGTGTTATTCTATTCTATAGATCACAGGACATGAAACTGCTATGGGAAACAACTTTTCAACTACCCTCCTCAATTTAAACAACTTCACATGGTGCTGGTGTATAAAACTACAGTATGGGCACATTTTACTACTGCTTTTCAACTTCTCTAAGCCTTTTTCTTGCAATCATGCATAGGTTTCTATTCTATAAATTCATCTAGAATGATCTCTGTGATAAGATTTCATTGTTGGAGAGACTAAGTTGCTAAAAGAAAATATCCATTTTAAGCTTGCACACATTTTCTTTTCTTCCCTTCTGATTCCACTATCAATATAGTTTCTCTCTGGCCTTTCTTTTTTATCTTTTTCTTTCATTTCTTGCCAAATGAAGCTTCTAGTTGTTGTGTCGGGTATTTACAGATATCTCAATTAAATTATTTTCATTATTAAATGTAGCTTAATCCTTTCTCACCCTTTTCCCAAACAGGTGCTTTTTATGTTTTAAGTTCAAATCCCAGACTTCCCATTTTCAGAATTCTCAATTTTGGTATTTGAAATCTAAGCATCTAAAGGATGCTGGGTTTGAAAAAGATGCTACATACACATACTTAACTCGTTTTAAAGATCTAACAGGCTACTGATAAGAAAATGAAGCATAAAAATGAAAACTAGGATTACTATTGTTTTGTTCTTTGCATTTTTCTCTTTCAGCAAGAATCTTATGGTTTTGAAGACTCATCTAAGAGAAGTAGATTTTCAAATGGGAAGCACAATTCTGTGGAAAGCATTAAATTGTCAAGGGCAGAAGAACCCTTGGGAATAAAAGAATCATAAATCTGGCTAAGTACTTGATTTGATTATTTTTACATGGTTTGGAGCAGACTTTTAAATGGTGTGCCATATATACTGCATTTTGGGGTTGAGGACTATAGTGGATTAAGCAATTATATTACAAAGGGTAAGCAAACAGGCAGGGCTAGAATTTTCCATTATTGTCCTTGTTTTATTTGGAATGGCATTTGTATTTTTAATTATCTTGACCCTATTTTAAAAGGTATAGGATAACTTTCTAATCTTATTCACTTCAGAAAATTGCCACACTTTTAACAGCATCCAGAAACGTGCCCTCCTTCCCCATACACCTCTGCAATAGCATGAACTAAAGAGAAACAGAATGGAGATCCTGGGGTACCCATATTAGAAACAATAATACATATTTTATTTTTCCTCCTGAAATGCATATACTCACTGGCCAACTTTTAAAAACCCTCCACTTTATTTTCCCTCTTCCTTCAAATAATCTGAGTAAAACCCTACACCATCCATTTATTTGAAAAGCAAATTACACAAAAACCAGAGTGCTGAATGGAAATTATCAGAATTTTTGAACATATGGGAAGAAAATTGCACAAATCAAATACAAGCCAGAACAAATGTGTCCCTAAAGCCCCTAAGAGACTGACTACTGAATGCTAGCTATGGCATCTATAAAGGAATGCTATCATCAAACAAACTTTAGCTGTATGGAAAGTAGGAGATATTAATTGGTAGCAATATTATTTTCATATACACAAAAACTCAATATATAAATAGTATAAACATTCTAATTTTGTTGTAATTTTGTTCTATCTCATTCAATCCATCTTGATTGAAGCCAGCTTGTCTGCTTAAGAGATTTCAGTTAGGATAAGATGATGATCCCAGAGTCTGACAATAATGATCATGTATTGATCCCAATATCTGCTTCAGAGTTAGAAAAGTAAGCTAATCTGCAAGGAAAAGAGACTGGATTCACCTACTGATGCAATTCAATACCCAAGGATGGCAAATTCCAAGCTATTGTACAAATATTTCATCTAGAAATACAACTCTACCTCAAAACACTGGAAAAAATCCTTGCTTATACCATTTCCCAATCTCTAGTTTCCCACTGATAGGAATCTCCTGCTCTATCCTCTCTCCTGAAGGCATAACCTCTTTCCCTCCATCTTTGCTGGCTGCTCTGAATGCAGTTTTGCATCTTTTTGTGCCATGGGTGATTATATGGTTTTTATTTAGTTTTTCTTGCCACAAAATGCAAAAGCAATGAGGAAAGAGTAAGGCCCAGGAAACAACTGGCTGCCAAAGTTGGGTAGCCATATAAGCCAGTTAAAGAGACTTTAATGCTTATTGGTTCAATAGAGGATGAAGGACAGCAAGAACAGTGCCTGAGGATATGGAAATGCTTTAACACAGAGGTCCCCAACCTTTTGGGCACCAGGGACCTGTTCCGTGGAGAGAGGTTTTTCCGCGGCCCGGAGGGTACATGGTTTTGTGTTCTGCCTGCATCTCACGGATCTGGCTTTACTTGTTTGTGTGGACTAGTTGCTGGCATGCCACGGCCTGGTACTTGTCCACAGACCGTATTCTTAATTTATGTAGTCACTCATTCTCACTTTCTGAAGCTTTAAATACATCTTATTCTTACTTCTGTATACTGTGTTAAATCCAGAAAAATAAAAAGTGGGTCTTAATTTATCTAAACCTAATTATAATAGGTCCCATGTATATGGAGCTTATGTGTTAGAACTACCAACTACCAACTAATTTTATTTGGGTTGTTGATTCCAACATGATCCTCAATATGTTTATTTGGTCATAGGCATACCTATTCATTAATGATTTACCATTAGAACATTAAATGCATTTCAAATCAATGCACTGAATTAATATTTAATATTGACTAGAGTGATTAGGATTGATATATATAGAGAGGATAATTGTACTAATTTAGCTTAAATTAATTTAATTTATTCTTGCATTAAAAACATATTTTAATGTTACACCTTTACCTGTTTTATGATTTAGTATGAATTTGGTTGTACAAATTAATAGGGTTTTATTTATTGATTGATTTTCTCTCCCCCCCCCCCCAAATGAACTATATATTATTCATATTTTGCATATAGACCAAAATGTTAATTTACAAATGTGAAGTGAGATCTCTATTGCTTAACAGGATTACAAATTTCTGGAGTTACTGAATCCTAAAAATTTCCAATAGAATTCTTGGCATCTAAAGAATCCTTGAAAGATCAACTCTGCCAGACTAATCATAATTAGCTTTGTACCTGCACATTCCGGATAACTTTGAAAGCAGTTGTAGAAACACTCATGCAAATGACAATGGTCACATTTCTGGGAAGAATGAATGATGTTCCAGGTTCTATATATGTTTTCCTATTGTAGCATGTTAAACATATAAGAAACACTAGAGAGCAAATGATACTTTTTTTGTACTGGAAATTTGTTTAAAGTAGCTAAAATAAAAAAGAGCTCATTCTGCTACTGAAAACTTTTTGTATAAAGAAGCATATAATCCATGAACTAGGGCTGACCAGACATAGCTTATCATAACTTTCTCATTTGGAGTACCAAATGCAGGTAAGATGGAATGGCATAAATTAGTTGAAAAATACTTTTTGGTGTAAGAGAAAAATTTCCATGCTTTTGATTTACTTCCTAAAATAAAAATAAAAAGTTGATCTTAAAAATAACATTACTTTTAAGATTTTATGTAGCACCGATTGGTTTTGTTTACTATAAAGTTCTTTTCACATCACTGTCTTTCTCTATCTAGGATGGCTTACTTCTAGGTAAGCCTGTACAAAATGAAGACTCTGAGACATTTCCTTTCATTCTGATCATGAAACCTGGACAATCTCCATAAAATTGAGTCAACAAATACTCAATTGCACCTTAATACAGAAAAATTCCTTCCTTGCTTAACTGTGTACCTGTCATATCATCTGTTCCCAGAGAAATTTTCACCACATATACATTCACTTTTCCTTTAAATATAAACATTTTTAGATGTATGTTATTATTTTCACATGAGTGTCATTATCAATAGTAAGTTAAAGTTATTTCCCTTAATACTGGGTCCAACACACTGAATTATTTATTGCCTCTATCTGCACCTTCCAAAACACTTTTTGGAAATGACACTAAGTAAATTTATACCAAGGCTTTTTAAACTGGCTATGTTTCTGGACCATTGAATTGCCTAGTACTTTTCTTTTTTTCTTTTCTTTTCTTTTTTCTTTCTTTTTTTTTTGATGGAAAAATAAAGTCTATTTCATTTCCATGTCTTTTAATATGCTGTATTTTCGCCTTGGAAGATACCTTCGTCTTTCTGGCTTTTATTTTAACGATCTCTCTCTCTCTCTCTCTCTCGCCATATAAATAAATATTATAGTATACTGTAATATTGGAATAATAACCATTTCTTCAGAGGAGCAGAAGTCAATCTTCTCTCCCTCCTGGTTGATCAATATCCTTAGTAATATTTCCAATACATGGGCAATCTGATATTCAAATCTGTAACTCACAAAAAAAACCTGCATCTAGCCAGTAAAATGCCATCAATTCCATCAACCCAAAGGGCACCGCCGAATAAATGGTTTGCTGTCCGCTGCAGACCACACTGAATTAGGAGTGTGACACGCGTGAACACCCTTTGTCGGTCGGTCGGTGTGTGTGTGTGTGTGTGTGTGTGTGTATGTCTGTGTGTGAGAGAGAGGGAGGTGTGTGTGTGTGTGTGTGTGTGTGTGTGTGTCTGAGAGAGAGAAAGGGGGAGAGAACGAGAGATTTCCTTAAGAATATTTTCCTGGCTTACCTCCGTTGAAATGCCGCCCAAAGCTTTCCCAGAGTGCTGAGAAGAAACGGGACTCCTTCGCTTACACAGGAGGACAACTCACGACTCCTTCCGAGCTGCCAGCAACCCAGAAGCCAATAGCACATGTTGCCTAGCATCTGTCATGTGACTATCGCTGGCCAATCCCTCGGCCCTTCTTATGCCGGCTTCCCAAGAGATCTTCCCTACGGTTCCCAATTTGGTCGAGTTAGACACAATGGGAGCGAGCGGGAGACCTACTCCTCTTGTTTGTGCATATAAGTGTCACCAGATAGAAAGTGTCGGCATTTCTCGATTGACAACAGGCAAGAGAACGGGGATGACGCTGGGAAAGAATTCCCAGCTGTGAAAACATACAGAAAGCGCTCTAAGGTGGAGGCTTGTATTTTTCTAACGGAATCCGGAGTAGGTAAGTAGAAGATGAACAGCAGTGACTGAATAGAAATGAGGGTTTAAAACAGCAGGGATTGATTATTACAGAGATTAGAAGAAGATTTACAAATGCCTTTAACCCCTGTAGTAATTTATAACTATTGGATTAGTTTTAATTGGGCTGATATCGGATGTCCCATATTTCGCTGGGATTCTGCCAATAAACACTACATTAAAAGCAAGCAGGTTTCACTGTAGATTTACGTTAATTTAATGGTTTATCAGGACAAATAAGTAACTCTTAATAAACAACACAGTGTCAAATACAGATGCACAAAACAGTCCCATACTAAAAAATGAGATGACAAAATTTATTGCCAAATAATTAGACACTGAGCTTGTAATTAAGTTGGTATAATAGAGTATGCTTGCATTACTCTGAAAACCAGTTCTGCTTAAATTTTGAAGTAGAAACTTCAAACATTTTTTTTAATTTAGGTAATTAAATGATGGCGAACCTTTTAGAGACTGAATGCCCAAATTGCAACCCCAAACTCACTTATGCATCATCCAGTGCCAGGTAGATGTGGCCCATTGAGTGGGTGTGGCTGCAGTGGTAACAGCAGACTGGGTGGGACTAAAAAGTTCAATCAATCAATTCCAACTCTGCAAGATCTTTTTTTTTTCTGTGAGAAGTTGAAATTGACTGATTGAACCTTTTTTTTTTTTTTTTGCCACAGCGGTGGAGGCCTAAAGCAAAAAGGTTTTATAAAACCCAGCTGAAGGCCTAGGACTGGGGTGATGGCGCACGTGCCCACAGAGAGGGCTCTGAGTGCCACCTCTGGCACTCATGCCATAGGTTTGCCCCCACTGTTATAGTACAATGGAGTTGATTTGTACCCATTCTTCCTGTAACTTTTATGTTAATAAAAATAACTTTTACTTAAACAATTTAAACAAAAAGAATTGCATTAAAAAAAATTCACAGGCAGGCAGTATCTTTATTTGGACCACCCAAATTGGCACAAAAATATGTGCCAGTTTTGAGGTTTCTTCAAATATCGATAAATGGGAATCATTAAATTTCACCTTTTGGGGATAGCTGAATGCTCTCAAAATGAATATTATTCCCAGATTAATTTATATTTTGAGTGGAATTCTAGTTCTGAAATATTTTCAGAAAATAAGTTCATTGTTTAGAATATTTCTAGGGTGTTCTTTGATTCCAAGAATATTTTAGATTCAGAATATTTTCAGAAAATGTAATTACCAATAAATGACAGAGATTTGGTTTTCCAAATCTGGAGCTATATCATCCTTAGCAATTGTCAAGTATTAAATACTGGAAGCCAATAATTGTTATTAAATTTCTCATTTAGGCAACTTTGAAATAAACAAATATAGCACCTTCGATTAGATAAACAGTAATAGACTCTGTTGTGTCCTGAGCCTGCAAGGCAGGCTCGGGACGTTGCAACGGTCCCGGGCAGTTGCAAGCTGCCCGGGACCAGACTGGCTGGCGCCGGCGCTCGCACACATGCGTGAGGCGCACAGCGCGCCTAAATGTTGCCGTTTGGCCCGGGGATTATCTTTAAGAGAGTCTGAGAGGCTTGCGTGCCTCTGAGTTGTAACGGGGCTACAGAACAACAAATAAAGAGGCTCCTGAAACTATGAGATGCTTCATGAAGTTATTGCCATTAACCAAGGACTCAACACTGGCGACGAAGGTGGGATCCCTTACAATTAATTGAAGAAATTGTAAGCTTACCCTGGAGTCCTGAAGCAGCAAGGAAACGGCGTTAAATTCAGCAACTGCCTGCCAATACAGCGTCGTTGGGGGTAAGTTGGCTGATAGACCCTTCCTGTACTACTGCAAAGATGGCAAAGATAGGAAGACTTTCTGAGTTTGATGTTACGCATCCAGAAAGATGGGAGTCTTATGTGGCCAGAGTAGAAAATTATTTCAGAGTAAATCAAGTGAGAGAAGATGGCTTAAAGGCCGCCACCCTGCTGTGTGTTTGTGGTCAAGATGCATTTGAAATTGCTGAAAATTTAGCAGCCCCTGCACCTCTTGAATCTGTTACCTACACAGATTTAAAGAAATTACTAAAAGAACACTTTCAGCCCAAGTTGTCTGTTATTGCATGGAAACATACTTTTGAACAGAGGGATCAACAGGCTGGTGAATCAGCTAAAGAGTACATTGCTGCATTGAGAAGAGCAGCTAAGCCTTGTGAGTTTAAAGACTTAGAAGAAAGACTGAGAGACAGATTTGTATGTGGGCTGAGAACCAGAGACTTGCAGCAGAGACTTTTTGCTAAAGAAGAATTATCGTTCCAAGATGCCTTGAGAGAGGTTACTGCAGAAGAGGCAGCAGGTGGGGCAATCAAGAATATGAGGCCTATCAGAAGTACACCAGAAGCTGTTTCCGTGCACCATGAGGGAGTCCAAGGGAGCTCGGAAGAGGATCCTGATGAAGAAGTAGATCATCTCTGCCCAACCAAAGAAGGGAAGCAGAAGGAAGGCAAAGAAAGGCCTTCAGCTGTTCCCAAGTGCTTCGGGTGTGGAAGTCGCCACAAGAGGACCGACTGCAGGTTTCGTTCTGCAATCTGTAGAGCATGTGGAAAGCAAGGCCACATTGCAGCTGTGTGCCTGGGCCGTCAGAAGGTACAATCCCGAGAAGAATTGCGCCTGAAAGGTACCAGGGTCCCCAGCCAAAACAGGGTGGGTTTCTGTGCTTCACGAAGAAGCATTTATAGGACAGGCACACACAAGCCACTCAAGAAGAAACTATCACTTAAAGTGAAGTTGCAAGGAGTTCCATTGGTCATGGAACTAGACACTGGGTCTGCACTTTCAATCATTTCCATTCACACATTCAGAAAGATTTGTTCTGGTAGTGGGTTCCAGGCCAAGCTTAGGCCTTCTAATATAGTGCTAACAGACTTCCAAAACTCCATAGTGTGTGTTAAGGGGGAGGCCACCCTTAACGTACAGTATAAGGATTTTGAAGGTCCATTAGATGTATTGATAGTGGGGGGTGGGCGCACGAGTCTCATAGGACTCGATTGGTTTGAGGCCTTGGGAATACAAGTTACAAGGCTCAATAGTTTGCAAACAGTAGGTCCACAAGAAGTCTGCAAAGAATTTGCAGATGTCTTCAGCCCACAGCTGGGTACATACAAAGGGCCCCCAGTTTCCTTAAAATTGGACCCCACTGTCACTCCTATCAGAGTAAAAGCAAGGAGAGTACCTTTTGCTTTAAAAGGGAAAATTGATGCTGAATTGGACAAATTGATTCAGCAAGGAGTCTTAGACCCTGTTGACTCCAGTCCTTGGGAAACTCCCATAGTCACGCCTCTTAAGGCTAATGGGGACATTCGCATCTGTGCAGATTACAAATGTACTCTAAATAAGGCATTGCAACAATATGCCTATCCTGTACCTGTAGTCAGCCATATTCTGGCTTCCCACAAAGGGGGGCGTGTTTTTGCAAAGCTTGACTTAGCACAAGCTTACCAACAGTTGCCTGTTGATGAAGCTGCTGCTGTAGCACAAACCATTGTAACACACAGGGGGGCATTCAAAGTCAAAAGGCTACAGTTTGGAGTAAATGTGGCTCCTGGAATTTTCCAAAGTGTAATGGAAAATACATTAAGGGGTATACCAAGGGTTTGCCCTTATTTTGATGATGTCTTAATTGTTGGAGATTCCACTCAAAATTTAGCTGAGGGATTGAGGGCTGTCTTGCTGCGGTTCCGGAAAACGGGCCTCAAACTCAAAAAGGACAAATGTAAAATTGGGGTGCCTTCTACAGATTTTCTGGGGTTCAAAATTGATGCCAATGGGATTCATCCTGCTGAGTCCAAATTAAAAGCCATCATGCAAGCTCCTAGGCCTAAGTCCAAAGCTGAACTACAAGCTTTTCTGGGCCTCTTGAATTTCTATAATTCATTCATTCCTAACAAGGCTAATGTAGCTGAACCACTTCATAGGCTTCTGGACAAACAGCCAGTGTGGCAGTGGTCACAAGCACATGAAGCAAGCTTCAGTGAGGTTAAGGCCTTACTCACATCCAACAATGTGCTTGCACACTTTAATGAAACTCTCCCTGTGTGCATTGCTTGTGATGCTTCCCCTTATGGGGTGGGAGCAGTACTCAGCCACCTTAGACCGGATGGAACTCAGGTTCCTGTTGCGTATTACTCCAGAACCTTGTCTTCTGCTGAACGAAACTACGCCCAGATAGACAGGGAGGCCTTAGCTGTTGTTGCTGGAATTAAAAAAATTCCATGATTTTTTATATGGCAGACATTTCACGGTCTACACTGACCATAAGCCTTTGTTGGGGTTGTTTATCACAAACAAACAAACTCCCCATATCATCTCCCCCAGGATGCTGAGGTGGTCAATCTTTCTGTCAGCCTATGATTTTTCTTTAATTCACAAACCTGGCAAAGAAATGGGCCATGCTGATGGCCTCAGTAGATTACCCTTGCAAGTAGTAGAGGCTGATCCTGCCCCTACCATCAACATCCTTTCTATTCAGGCACTGCCTGAGTCACCTTTAAATGCCAGGGATGTGGCTGCTGAATCAGCCACAGATCTTACACTCTCTCATGTCTTATCCTGGGTTTTGTGTGGATGGCCAGAGAGTTGTCCGGGTACTGAGTTTCAGAGTTTCTGGCTTAAGAAACATGAGTTATCCACCTTTCAGGGTTGT